AAACTGGGGAATACCATTCCTAAACCAGGGCAAACACTTAAAAGATTTATGTAAAATGCAATGTCCTAAAAATTAGAACTTGGGAGACAAACTTCCCACTTGCCTTATTTTGGAGGGTGAGAGGTGCTCTTAACTTTGTGCCAGTTTTGGGTGAGCTGAAGCAAAGCATTCCATATAGTATAATGGATACTTGATTGGCAGTGTTGATAAAAGAAGTTACACTTATTTAAGCATAATTGCAGATCAAACCCAGAAATATCTATACTAGTGTATGCAGTAAGCTTTTTCATCTGAGATGATGTCTGTGTATGCCTGCTGAAGAAATAACAGCAACTTAGGAAGATGTAAAATAACATACCAAAATGTCCATTGTTTTTTGCACAATACTTGGCTTCAGCCTTTATCATTTCAGTTTGGTTCAGATAAGGCATCTAATCACCTTCAGGTCTTTTTTTCTCTGGGTCAGGTTGCTGCTTTTTCCTTAAAGTTCTGTTGTTGTGATGATCTTATTTTTTAGCTGCATTTTGGGGTTTTTTTCAGTGCAACTTCCTTGAACATAGTTTATAGAATTGTTCTATTAATGTTTTGCTCTTTTTTCATAATGTGTTGATTTGTCTTTCCTCTGTCTCCAGTTACTTTCCACAAAGTTGCCATACTGCAGGGAGAATGTGTGTTTGGCTTATGGTCAGGAGTGGTCAGTGTATGCAGTAGGATCACAGGCACATGTCTCCTTTCTGGATCCAAGGCAGCCTTCTCACACTGTTAAATCCATCTGTTCCAAAGAACAAGGCAGTGGTAAGAAACCTGTCAAAGGGTGCTTCAAATGGTTTGCTTGCTGTAAGATAAGCTTCTAATAAATAGGAAGGGTTTTTCATGTGATAGACTAAATCATTAATAGCATATATAGGTTTTGCTTTTATGACATTATTCCTTGAGCAACCAACAAACCAAACATAAGAGCAACTCTGAAATCTAATGAAGGACAATAGCAGTGCTTTTATGATCAACTAAATTGCACACCATCCAAATATTACTGAACTTTTAAAAGTGTGCATTTTACTTATTACTGAACTTTCACTGTGCATTTTACTTCTGCGTATTTTTTACTGTGTCTTATTCTGTTTTACTTCACCTCAAATCAAATCCAGGCTTCGTTACCACTATTAGTACTGTCTATTCTTGCATTTTTCTCTGGGAACAGAAAAAAAAGCACGTTGTCTGCTCTCTATTATCATATTGTGAGTCTGTGCTGTGAGTGAATGCTTGCTTTATAATTTTAACGCCATGAGTGAGACGCTTTATTGTCAGTGTGTACTTATTTCCTTTAAATATACTAAAGCTCACTCTTAAACACACAAAAAAAAGTTTGCAGATCTGAGTGCTGTTTCCTTTTCTGATGTGAATGCAGCATTGAACCTTACACCTGAGCCGAGACTGAGGGTTTGAAGGGTACGTGGTACCATAAGCTTCTTCCCATACCCTTTATTTTCAAGCATGAGAAGGCACTGTGCTGTGATGCCCATTTTAAACCATATTAATCCCAGACTAATAAGTTGCAGTCCTTATTTAGCTTGACTCTAGGCATTCATCTCTTCCTTGGGCAAGTTATAAAAAACCACGCATGTAGGAACGGATTAGGAAATTTTTATTTATGTGGTTACTGGAGTTTGAACAGTGCTGTCTAGATAAATGTCAGGGTCTGCTTCTTTCAGATACAGGAGAAGTTTCTATAATATGAGAAAAGGTGCTTCACCAGCTTGTGTTTGTCACTTTGACATCTTGCCAGCAACACCCCTTGTCTTGACCCACTCACTGTCAGTGAGGGCTCTGTGAAGGTCCTGACACTGTCACCCTTCAGTATCATAGGGAAGAAATACCAACATACTGGAATGTAGTACCCAGTGGTGACTGCTGGCTAAAAGTTTCTGCCTTGAGTTATGTGATCATCCCTGCTTGGGGGGATGATCTATGTGTAGGGAGTATCTCTGGGATGCTAGTTCATGTCTGGAGAAAGTCTTTGTTCAATGCTGTTTTCTATTCTGCATAGTAGGCAGATTTTTTTTTTTGCATGGTGGTAGAGGCACTTAAGTAATATTAATTCCCAAGATACTGTTTTGACTTTCTATTGATCTCATTGGGACTTGGAGTGATGCAGCATCTCTAGAAAGTAGGCTGTTTATTGATTTCCAGACTAAAATCTGGGTTGACTTTTAAGTGCTTTGAAGTGTTACTTAAATGTGTTTTCAGCTTCTAAATGCACCTGCTGAGCGTGGTAAGTTCACGTTAACTTCAGTTCATTAGTGTTGTATACAAGAAACAGGTCAGAGAAAGGTTGTCACTTAGTAAGACTGAAACTGAGGCTGTTTATTACCTAGTATAACCCTGTCTGCTCTATGTGAGAAGGTAGCTAATGCTTTTTAGTGCATCTTCTAAGTGTTGCTTTTCTTAGCAGCTGTACAGAAAAGTGCAGGCCCTGGACTGTAGTTTTTGATCTGTAGGAGCAACTGCTTTCTGCTCGTCTGGCCTACAGAGCAATGTTGCATGCCCTTGAATTTATAATCCTGATGGCAGCAATGTTAATGCAGTGGACAGAACTTGTGCAGCACAGACTCTGTGTGTCCTCTTTGCATAGGACATGCTACTGCATCTTCATTTACTTCTGGGAGTAAGACTCAATTTGCTGACCCAAATAGTCCAGGTCCACAGGTGATAGAGTGCTGGGAATGTAGGAGAGCTTACTGTGATCAGTTCTAGACACATGTAGTGCTTTTAGTTTGATGGGAATGATTAATCTAAGGTACTTCAGCTCCTTAGGAGCCAATTTGAAGTGCTGTTCTTGAAAGCCTGTTCTAAACATCCACTTAGTAGTGAGTACATCATGGATTCCTTCAGTTTTCCTTCAGGTTTTTTGATTAGAGAAAGATGCACAGTTGTTCTGTATTTTATAGCTTTTTATTAATAAATTGCATTGAAAAGTATATGCTGTCTGCTTTCATACTCCATCACCTGTCTCTTAAGTAAGTGTTCTGCTAGGTTTCTTGTCAAAAGCACTTTCAGAGCAAAAATAAGAGCTGGTCTGCTCTTGTGCCTTTCTCCTCTTATCCCAGTGACTGCTCTTGCTGACTGCAGAGGGCTTAAAGCATTCTGCATGTATTTGCCAGAGCCAAGTCTTTGTAATGGTGATGAATAACAGGAGCAAAGTTCCAAATAACAAGATAAAGAACAAAGCAGTTAAGCAATGGAAGCAATAACCATGGGAATGTAGAAAACAGAAAATTGAAGGCCTAAGTCCTTGAAGAGGGGCAAAACCAAAAAAGGATAACACGTTTCTTATCCAGGATGTCTAATGATGAATCATAAAATTTTAGAGGTTGGAATGGACCTTACAAATCATCCAGTCCCAACCCCCTGCCATGGGCAGAGACACCTCCCCCCAGACCAGGATGCTCAAGGCCTCATCCAACCTGGCTTTGAACACCGCCAGGGTTGGGGCAGCCACCACGTCCCTGGGCAACCTGTGCCAGTGTATCACCACCCTCACATGAAAAAACCTTTTTCTAATATTTAACCTAAACTTCCCCTCCTTCAATTTGAACCCGTTACCCCTTGTCCTATCCTTGCAGTTCCTAACAAAGAGTCCCTCTCCAGCTCCTTGTAGCCCCTTCAGATACTGAAAAGTTGCTCTGAGGTCTCCATGCAACCTTCTCTTCTCCAGAAGAGCCAACAAACCCTTGGTTTTGACTGGTTCTGTGGTGAGAACTTGCCCTAGTGATGAACTTTGCTCATTATAATAGTCAAACCCACACCCCTAGCTCAGGCACCCTCACAAAAAGACCACTACTCATCAAGCATGTGCCATGATTTCTTGGGACACTATGCCTTTAAATTGAAGTAGAGAAAGGATAAGCCAATAGCAACTTAGCCAAGTAGTGACTTAAGTAAGATATGCTAAGCCTAAGGTCATAACCTTATAAGTAGGCCTTTGTGTGTCTTAGTGTGGTGGATTTGCCACCCAGCACCCCTTTCTGCTCAGAACTGTAAATAAATCAAATACCTCGACTCTGTGGATTGCTTCTTGTACACTGGGTGAAAGAACTCAGTTTGGGACAAAAATGAGGGGAGAGGGATGTCTCCCAACTTGCTCAGATGCATTTGTAGTTCTCTGAATTAAAGTAGAGATTCTTATATGCATCTGGTAAATCTACTTTGGCAGGTGTGAGACTTGCTCAGTGGTTTCCCACCTATTAAGCCTGCAGCCAAGACTTCACCTCATATCTGGAGCACAGCAATGTGGCCTTGCCTGGTTTAAGTGTGTAACAGATGCTGGTGGCTGTGGATATAAGATCAGGCTGTGGAGGTGGAAGACTGAAGATGTGTTTCTAGTTAGGACTCTCAGAGGGGAAGGGGAAATGCTCTTCATCTACACCTCTTGGATGTCTGCTGTCACCTGTACTGCTGGGTGTTATTGCAGTATGTCACAAGTTCTGTGACGTTCAGCCCCATTTGGTACAGTGACAGTAGTTGAATGTAGTTGGCACTCTTCCCCTCCTGTTTGAATGCTCGTTTAGGCTGTAATTCAGTAGTACTTTAAAGAGGGCTTAAAAAGCTGTAGGGTTTATAACCTGCCATCATGTTGTACAGGAAGGGAAAGCATAGATGTGGTGGGGTTTAATCTGTGTAGAAGAGTTGTTAGGGCTAGAGTACTTGCACGGAACAAACCTTTTGCACAATAAATAGAGATGAGAGGACAGGACATTTTGCAAATTGCACATTCCTATGTACAGAATCTCCCCAAGACTATTTTCAAGGGATGGTATAAGTGAATTGCGTTAGAATGTTTTGTTTGGACTGGAAACTTGTAGCTTTCCATATGCTGATGTAACATAGTGGTGCTTTGCTTGTAGTATGCTTAGTCTGTTTGCATTGCTGGGTGAAGTCCTAAAAGTACTAGCTATGAAGTAAGGTATGCTGATGTGAGAATATTTGAGCAGGGGTAGACTCAAAATTATTTCAGATCCTGATCTACCTTAGCAGCAAAGTGACTAGTGATTATTATGATTATACTTGCTTACAGCTAGCCTGTTGACCACCAAAATGCACTTGGTAGCAGCTGGGATAGTAATTTTTTCACATAGTCACTTATCACAGCTAGGAAGGTAGCTAGATAGGGTATGAGCTCATGGAGGAAACCAATGTGACGCTTTCCTCTGTCTGCTGCCACGTACTCATGGTGTGTTTGCTCAGAGGCTTGTAGCAGATAGAACAAAGCTACTCTTGATCTTAAATGGCTTATGATCTCTGTTTATCTGTCAGAGCTGGGGCCTGCTGAGAATTAAGCTTCTTACTACACACCATCAGTGTAGCTGATGGCATCAGAGAAGAAAGGAAGTAGTATGTGTAATTGAAGCTGCTGTATCAATTGCATCAATGGGATTTGTCTGCACTGCTTCATAGCAATGTGTGCTCCAAACTTGTATATTGTGGAGGATACCAGTAGGTAGTTCCTCTTAAAGAAAATATTAGATATCAAACAGCACAACAGAGCTGAAGCATCCATTTTCCTTACTGCATTGTATGCCCCTTCTCTGTTTGACAGGTATTCGATCAGTGAGCTTCTATGAGCACATCATCACAGTGGGAACAGGGCAAGGTTCCTTATTGTTTTACGATATCCGAGCCCAGAGGTTCCTGGATGAAAAGCCCCCACGTGCCTGCTATGGACAGAAGCAGAAATTAGGAGGAAGTGAAATTTTGAAGTTGACTACTGGGAAAGGCTGGCTGGTGAGTAGCTTGTCATTGTAGGAAAACCTTTACACAGGAGTTTACACTGGTTCTTTTTGTAGTAATGGAAGCTATTGTATGAAATGTGTCCCAGTCAAACAGTGATCATGTAACCAATAACTGTAATCTTGAAAAGCAAGAAGTGCTGCAGAATTGCTTTCTACAAAAGCAAGGGTTGGTTGCTCGAGTGTAAGGCATACTGATTACTGTTCTTATGCACTGATTCATAAATGAACTAGATTTTATATCTTTATATTTTTTAATGTAAACTAACTTCTAGTCTTCAGAACCTCAAACAAAAAGTACATTGTCTTCCTTTAAAAATGTGCTACTCTAATGTGGTATTCAAAGCAAGAGAGATTTAATTGTGTGCAATATTAGAGACTGGCCTCCTGAGGTAATGCCATGACAGGCACTTGAGTTCAATTCCCTGTATGTTATCATAAAGCTTTGTCTAAATTCTCTCCATTATCTTTTGTACCATTGTGATGTAACTGTAATGAAATGATATCTTTCCTACCCTTCATCTCCCCCCTCCAATGTTTGGCCCAAATGTCCTCAGAAAAAGCTTCAGGACAACCTTGTTATCTTCTCATTGATCTGTCTGAAGCTTCAGGAGTATTAATAGAGAGGATCCCTTTTTAGACTCTGGAAGCTACCTTCTGCTTTTGTGAAACAAGGTTTTGGGTTTGCTTGGCAACAGTAACAATCTAAACTTTCCTTTAACAGAATCATGATGAAACCTGGAGGAATTATTTTTCTGACATACATTTCTTCCCAAATGCTGTTTACACCCACTGCTACGACTCATCTGGAACGAAACTCTTTGTGGCAGGAGGCCCTCTTCCATCAGGACTTCATGGGAATTATGCTGCTCTCTGGAGCTAATGATAATTCTTCATAAATGCTGATCTTTACACAGATTTCCACTTTTCTTTCCCTTTTTAAACAACAAAATTGTGTGATGCCATTGATTTCTGGTTTAAATGCAAGTTATTTTTTGGCAGAGTTTTCTGTTGGTCTCCAACAGTCTTGTCCATCTTTTTTAACCATTATTTTTGCTTTAACCGCCTTGATCTTTTATATTAAGGGTTTTTAAAATCCTTTTTTATTGTATTTACTTCAAATGACTCTTCTCCCACATTTAGGCTGTCTTGGCCATGTGCCCCCTCCTCTTCTTCACTGTGAGGTAGGATTCCTTTCTTATAGAGTGGTTGCTCCTGGGCTTTCTGTGAAAGTCTAGGGGCTGTACGTATGCAGATATTTTGTGCCAGTTCCATTACCTGGAGTGAGGACTACTTGTAATTAAAAAATATTCAAAGTATTTATAAGAGATAAGCTGCTACTTTATCTGTAGAGCCTGGCCCTAGCCTGGGTTAATCTTATTTTTTAAAAGTACAAGTCTAATGACATTGTTTTTACATAGAGGAATATGGTAATTTTAAGCTGTACTCATTGGAACTCAGGGATAGATTCCCCAGGGATATTTCCCATCAAGCCCAAAGTGCAGGAGTTCTCAAAAATGTGTTTGTATTTGAATTGTAGTTTTCAGCAGTGCCAAGAACAAATGCTGATCTTCTGTTCCTTTTCTGCTTCTCCCAGGTATCAGCTTGCACAACTGGAGTTTGCATAGGCTGTTCTGCAGTATGACTGTTGCAGGATGACATTACACTGAGGGCCTGCAGAGGTGCTGAGAGGAAATGGGGGCTAGGGACATGAGTGTTCTTGTCCTTCAAAATGAACTAAATCTTAGCAGTTTTCCAGATGAGTCACGGTTCCTTAGTATGCTGCTGTGGGAACTCATGAGTTCTTCATAAACTGCCTAAACCCCAGGACCTCTTTTTGTCCCAGGCTGTGGAAACTTTTCCTTTTTTAGCTGTTCTGGTTGGCTATCTCCTCTAACAAGCCAGTGGAATAAGCAAACTGGTTTGGTTTTTTTCTCCAGGGTTAAAGAGTGGACTTGTCTAATGCAAGCTAGAAGCTTTCCATGTAGCAAGATAACTTCCTGTTAGCTCACACTGAGCCAGAATCTGTTGTCATCTTGCTTGCTGTAGAAGAGGCTCAGGCTTTCCCCAAATCCCCTACTGCCTTCTGCATTCAAACTCCCTCAAACTTCATGTGGAACTTGGTGGGGAGAATGGGTCCAATGCTCTTCAGGTTCAACCATGAAGCATGTGCATTCCAGGGTGATGGTCTTACCTAATACTCGCTAAAATGCAGGACTCAAAGGTGCTCCTCCTAGCCTTTTGGCAGGCACCAAACTTGTCTTGTTACTGACACTTCTGTCCTCTGCTGGAATTAATGCCTTTCTCCTGCCCTTGTCACCAGTGGAGCTTTCCTTTTCAAGGCCTAAGTCTCAGGGTATATAAATCACTATGACTCATCCAAATAATACCTAAACAGACTAACCAGAGGTTAACGTGCCTTCCTCTTCTGGTACCTTGATCTTTGTAAAGTTATCTCACAAACTCATCATTGTCTTAGGGCTGGGTACATGCACTGCCTTTTTCTAAGATGTATGGGTTGAAGTAGCAACAGGTTTGTACTGTTACTTGTGACTTGTTCCATTTGTGTTAGGATGTGGTATAGACCCAAATCAATGCACTGGTTTGTCGTCAGCCTTACCAGTGACATCTATCAGTGCTTTCTTGTATGTTAATGTGTCCTCAAATACTGGATCTTCCCCATTGCCTATGATATATATGATGCCCAAACTATACAAGGTGTTTTAAAACATGTGCGGTGATCACAACTTGTTGCCTGAGGGTAGGATTTCTTACAGTCAACTGTTTTTAATGGGTTTTTTTCCAAATATATTTAATATGATCCAAAGCCTTGGAAAAAAAAAATCAGGACTTGCTGATACTTGTTGGCTTTCGTTCTGAATCCAGGGTCTGATGTTTGTTAACAACTCCTGCAATTTCACCCATTTAACAGAGCTTGCTGTTTCTGTCATGAGCTGTGTCAGAAACAGCCCTTGACTATCACAGAAGCTGTCAAGTGAAGTAATAACAGCTCTCTTCAAATGTTACAGTGCACATTTTAAACTGCAAGGTAAAACTGTGAAAAGTTATTGATGCAGCTTGCAAATGGAACAGTGGGGAAATTGCAGACAGTATGTGGAACCAGTCCCTGTACATGGGGTTCAGTGTTCAGTTATCTTGTAAATTGTTGTTGTTTTTTTATTTTTAATTTTCATACAAATACATTATGCTGCGATTGAGAGACGGGACGCAGCTTGATGCAAGCAAAATGTCTGTTTATTAGGCTGTCGTGTAAAAAGTTATACTAATTTTGGCGAAGCATGTCTTATACTGATTGGCTACCAAAGACAAAGCGGGTACATATCCATTGGTTAGTACAGAAAAACAGATTACGGTTAAACACCTTTTTTTCCTTAGCAA